TTTGCCGCGAGAAATTTGAGCGAAAGTACAACCTCTCTCCTCCGAGAAAGAAAAGCGATTTTTAAACAAAAACGCGCTACTACCGCCGTAAAATTGTTCTCCATCCGCTCGCGAAATATAGAGAGAAAGAAAGAGAGAAAAAGAAAGAGAACAGAGAGAGGCAGAGACAACGGAAAGGGACAGAAAGAGATAGAGAGAAGTACAGAGAGAGAGAGAGAGAAAGAGAGACAGACAGACAGAGAGAGGTATAGAAAGAGACACAGAGAGAGACATAGAGAGAGACAGAGAGAGGTACAGAGAGAAAAAGACAGAAAGAGAGGGGGGAGAGAGAGAGTCTCTCTTTCATGCGCGGATGAGTCAACCGATCGCGGATGAATCGGCGGCGACGGCGACGACGAAGTGCACGACGAGGATGCGGGTTTACGTCAGCAACCGAAGGAGAGTGAGCTCAGTGGCGTGCTCGTTGTCGCGGGCGAGGAGAGTGCGCGTTCGGCGTCGTGAAATTTTCGCCGGACGGCCATACCGATACATATACTTTAATAGTGACAAAGGTGCACGTGGGCGATCGAGCCTGGCCGGCTCAGGCCGCTTGAACTCCGTTAGATCGCGCGCGCCGGGGAATTTTAATTGAAAACTGCGATCTCTTGTGCCGCGCGCCGGGCGCGGAGAGGCCGCGAGAGGAGAACGAAACGATATCTCGTTGGAATTTTCAAACAAGCGCGTTCGCTCGCGGTTACGCACACACCGCCGTTCGCTCGCTCGCTCGCTCGCTCCGGCGCGGATGTGTCGGGACGGTGAGATTTTCGCGCTTGGTACGCGCGGAGGCTGTTGCCAAGCTTGAAGTCAGGAGCTGTGCGCCAATATGTTCTGCGAGTTGAGGCAAAAATTTTCCGCACATACCCGAGGGCGCCCCCTTTCTGGAAGCAGGCGAGATTAAGGGAAAGAGAATCGGGAGGGTTTTTCGGGAAGCCGGTGAAACGAACGGACGGAAGAAAATCGGAGGGATAATAAGCCCTTGAGGTGGAAGCGGCAAGTATAAATTTCTCCAGAATCAGAAAGTCCGGCTGGCCTGTGAAATTAAGAATTGCCTCGCTTTAATCGACGATTCGCGCGATTTCAGGCCTCAAAAGAAACGCATCGAGCGCGCATCATCGCGTATTAATCTCCGAACGGATGATGATATCGGTAATTGGAAGTCGGTCGTTTCGTTAATTAAAAAAGCAAACTGAACAATTAGAGCGGCTCTCGTACGAGCGTGCTTAATCGGGAAACGATATCGATAATTGACGGTTGGCGATCCCGTTAAGAAAGAAGAGGAAAAACGAAAGAAAAAAGGAAAAAGGAGCCTTAAACCAAATTATCGAAATAGCGAGCTGAAATGTAACTGTGCGAAGTACAGCTGACAAATTAAAATTCCATTCTAAACGGCCGATACTTCAATGCGCTCGCATTCTTTAAGGAGGTTTTGAACACTACTTTTGAGACAATATTAATAAAATTGTTTAAAATAATTGAAAAATTAATTTCACAGCGATATCAGTGAGATGAAATTCATAAAAATCATAATAAATAATCATTTTTAACTTAACAATTACAAAATATTTTAAAAGTAAGACAAAAGTTATAGAAGAAAAATTATAAAAGAAATGAAGATAATGAAGAAAAGAAATATGAACATGAAATATATTCGCTATTATATTCGATAAATAATTAATTTCATTTAATTTTATTTGCAAATGCACAGATGTTATGTTAGAATGAATAATAAATAGAGAAACAAATGTAAAAATGAGAGATATTATGAGGCCACATTTCTACATATATTTATTTCCATACTTATATTTCAGGTTTGACTCTAACTTATCACGTATATGTAACGTTACCATATTTCCAGTCATATCTTATTTCACGAATATTCTTATTGAAATATTCAAACATCTTTTCAACGTAACGGTAAATTTATATCATACTTTAATATAATGCATTTTGCAACTATATACATATCATAGGTTTATCTTAATATAATTAATAATATAAATTAATATTAATAATATATTTAATATTAATAATATAAAAAGAAATAATAATAATAATAATTAATAATATAATTACTGCATGAACTCGTAAGTAATGGCTCTCAATTTTGACAGTTTGGTGAGATCCGAAAACTTCATTGCGTCTAAACCGTTTTGCAACCAAGTGTACACATTATAAGTGGATCTTGTACTTGTTCAAACGCAAAACCTCCTTAAACACGCGTGACGACCTCGCGCCTGCTTTCAGCGCGTATTGCGCAGCCTCGCTATGAACGACGTCGTCGATAGCATCGGCGACAGCTGTAATATACATTTACATTCGCGGCGAATTTACGGCTGGTCCGCCTCGTCCTCGATAAAAGCGTTTCTCGATCTCGCAAGCATGCGCGCGCGAACGCTCCTCGAATAGCCGATGCGCTTTCCACGATCGAAAGCAATTGAATCGAAATCGTCGGCGCGCCGTTTCATGGACGATCTACCGTTAGCGGGGGACCTCGTGAGCTCAAGATGTCCTCGTCGTCACCGTCGTTGTCGTCGGTCGTTCATCGTCCTTGTCGATGGAGCGACTCTGTCGATGTCGTCGAGCCCGGCGTCGTTACGCGCGCGTCGTTGACTCCGATTAATCCCACAACGAAGGAATGTAGGGTAAACAGGGGGCACGAGGGACCCCTCCGGAGCCGGTTGGCGTACAGAGCTCTCCGGAGAACAAACATCTGTCGAGACTCTGTATTTTGTCACGACTCATTGGAGACGCGTATCGAGGAAAAATGGAAAGAGCAGAACGCTCAGGGGTCACGTCTCGCTTCGAAGTGATGTCCGACGCAACGAGTTCGTTCGTTCATTTATCTGTCCACGCGGAAGAAACAATTTCTGGATCAGCCAAATAGCTAATCTGGTCTGGTGAAATATGAACGAGCTAGAATTTCAGTTATCAGTTGAAGTTATCAGAATTCTGTGTTCAAGTTAACGAGATTCTGGTTAATCAAGCAAGATTTCTGGTTCACTAGAACTTGTAACTGTTCCAGTTGAATAGTTTCAAATCCTGGTTAATCAGAAATCTTATTAACTTGGATAGAATCTTGGTAACTTCAAACGAAATTTGTTCATATTTTATCAAATTAATCCAACGATGAATTCAACTAAATTTCTTTTCCGTATATTTATTCATTATTAATTTTCACATAAGCTTCCCGGAGCCCACGCACGTTTAAACCACTTGGAGCTCTGACACGCTCCGTTTCGAATATCATTTTCAATCTTCCAGTCAAAATATAAACCTTAACCCTCTGCCCGTCGTTTGTGTTCCCAAGCGAGTTTTTGTCGAGCAACGATGAGACGTCCATGACGGCATGACAGTATTCCGCAAAAAAGATTCGGGACTCGGGACAATAACAAGAGACCAGTCGTCGATCATCCCAGTCGGTCGCAAGTCGATACGAAAACAGTATGACTAGTCCACACGTAAATCTGGTTGCGTCAAAGGTTCAATAGCAAGATAACAACAATTAATTATGTAGTTGCTACAATCACAGAGCTATTGCTAATCATAGCAACACAATGTATTAGGTTAATATCAAATCTATAGTATATCTATAGTAGTCAATGTAGAATCTATAGTAGCCAACCGTTGGCCAACTAATATGTGCTGCTGCGGGAGTTACTGATGTTGCAACGAAGGCAGATATCTGGTTGCTTTAACTAGAATATATCCATGGCAAATGTCGCTCTATCGATTTCTGGTTGCCACGACCAGGGAGTCAATCGTGAATCCTTTCCTTTAGTATGAATTCATGAAAAGTGAAAAATCTAATCTTTGAAGATGTAGGGAAACGTTTATTCTTCATAGGTTTACATTGGAAGAAAAGAGTTATTGCCTTCAAATACTGCAACATTATTCACTTTATATAATTTTATACTAGAAAAAAGCATTATATGATTGATAAGCATGATCGAATTCACGTGAAAAGATTCATGATTAATGCCCAGATCACGCGCAATTACATTAATGCAATTGATGTATCAAAGTAACTGAGTCATACCTATCACACACATTACCATCATACAAAGGTAGATTCAGGAAACGGTTGTGAAACCGCTGAGTGATTATCGCTTTTAATTGAAGTATTCTTTTAGATCCATAGTAGATCTGAACGAATATTCCGATAACACTGAGCGCTCACTCAACTGTTGTGTTTCCTGAACACAGCCAAAGGCAACTTATGCAACTATGCTGCTCACAACGAAATATTTCTGCACGGAAAAAACAGTATGATTTGACACATAAATCTGGTCATGCGAATCAGATTTGATAGTAAATTACGAAACAACTAATTATGAGCTTGCTGCAATCACAGAGCAATTGCTTAATTACTGGTGTTGCAGCAGTTGACGATGGTTGCTCCACTAAAGTGCATCTACACTGAGAGAAGAATTTAGTAAATATTATCAAAATTTGGTTACTATTACTAAATGATAGACGTAAATATAGCGGGCCAAAGCTATGGCAATACTTATTAATTAATTTAGTTCTGTAAAATAAATTATTTATTTGACAGAAGTAAAATTTATTTGCTTCCAGAATATATTTGGTAAATAAAACTTATTGAATAGTTGAGCAAAATAAGCGATTTTGTAATAGTTACAAAATTTTTGATAGGTTCAATCAACTATCTGTAATAATAGATATTGAAACGATGTAATAGCTGCAAATGAATAAATTTTTCGTTGTGCTGCAACAAAACATACTTATACTGGTAACAAAATAGAACTCGTACCTACTGAATTTTTTATTATATGGGATATAACGATTTCATAACAATTATCAAATATCTGTTCATAACTGTAATATATTTCATATTAAATATTTAACATTAAGTAACTATTACTAAATTATTTAACTGATGTTACTGTGAATGCAATTACGTCATACTCCCGATCTATTAAATATTTGGTAATTATTATCATATTTAGTATTAGTTACTAAGGATTCAATGAATTTCTGTAACTAAATGCAGTTTGTTATAAATGCAGTTACCAGTCTTTTCTCTCAGTGAATAGCAAATATCGCCCTAACTGATTTCTAATTGTCACAACCAGATCAGTAACTATATTGATAATGTAGCTATACTCGTATTGATGTAACTACTGATGATGTAGCTGATATTCCAAAGTAACTAAGTCGCACCAAACACACACATTACCATCACACGAAAATATCTAGAGTAGTACAACTATGCTGCTCACAACTAAATATTTCTGGTTATATGCATCATATTTTTTCTCTTCCGTGTCCCGAGTCCCGAATTATTTTTAGGAAAACAGCGTGACTTTGGAGTCTCGTTATTGCTCGATGAAAGACCCCACGTAAATATAAACGGATCGCGAGCGCAGTTGCGTCGCACAGATCGCGAAACACCACCGTCCAAGTCGGATCCTGAGCGTCGAGGGGCATGAGTCTCGCTTGGGCGCGAGGAGGATAGACGACGATTAAATATAATGAGCTGCATGACGCAAACCGGAAAGGATAAATAGACGACGCTCCTCGAGAAGAACAGCCCGAGACGGGGGGAGAGAGAGAGAGAGAGAGAAGTAAAACGCCAAAGAGCGTAGCAAGAGGAAGCGTAAATTATCACTCTCGAAGTACGCATCGCGAGAAGAAGGAAAGAAATCGAATGAGGAGCAGCATGAGGCTGTCCATGAGGCAGTATTTGAAGGCAGCTTATCAGTACCATTCACATCCATTCCAGGAACCCAGAAACTCCATCAGTTGCAGAAGTCAGTGTGACACCGAACTTCCCATCGAGCTCTATCGAGGAGGCATCGAGCAGGCCCCGATGGTCTCCGTCGCCATCGAGCTGAGCGAATCTCGGTCTCTGGTGAAGACGTGCTCATCGGCGACGTGAGGACAATAAACAGACGTTCTCTCACGCGACGTTCCTCCTCCGACGTCCAGATAGCTCGGGAAACAACACGCCGGTGAAGCTGGACCGAACGTCGCAGGGACACCCCGTATAAGAGCGCTAAATTTAGGCGAAAGAATTCGCGCGTGGCGGCCGCGTTCGCTCCCGCTCGAATTTTCACGAAACCCGCCCGAGTCAACGTCTTCGGGGGTCTGTGCGCGCTTCGGACTTTGAATCACGCGTGTGTCGGTACGTCTGTCGGTGTGCTGGGTGGGTGGATGTGTGTATGTGCTTGTGTGATGGGGCGAGAGTGCGCGAGGCCGCCGCCGGCTCGTCGAACAGCCTAGGAAGGATGTTGATCACCAAGTACACGACGATCCTACTGCAATCCACCAATCAGCACATTATCAGGTGAGAGCATCGACGTTCGCCTCAAAGATAAGACTAATAGGGGGATGAGGGAGCGCGGGAGTAGAGAATAATAATAAAAAGCGAGATGCCGACTATTCTTCCTCCCCGTTCGTTTAGTCGGGCGGTTGCGCCGGGAAATTGAACCTGGTTCGATCCTGACAGTAACACCAAGCGCCTCCTGGAACGTAATGGTGTAAATTCCATTTTAATTTACTTTCACGAACTCCCTCGTAAAGAATGCGAAAAGAATGGAGACTACGGTAAGGGGATGCCGTACTTGAAAACTTTCCCAAATCGAAATTTTGGCTCTATAAACCTTGAATTCTATATAGTAGAAGCTAAGTAAATTTAATTCTAATGATACAATTTACTCCTACTTTGACTCTAATAGTGTCAGAAATTTCCTTTTTCACTTTCTTTAGTGTCAAAATAGGCTGTATTATAAGCTTCTGCACCTTTATAACTAAATGTAAAAGCTTGATAATACGAAAAATTTACATGAAAATTTCTATGTATGCACAGTTGGATTTCACACTAAATTTATTAAAATAAAACAACACATATTTATATAAAATCTATATATATATATATATATATATATATATATATATATATATATAAGAAATATCAAAATGATATCGTAATTATTTTGTGTTAGTGCATTAGAGAAATTATTCGATAAAAAATTAATAAACGGATATTTCCGATTAAGGTACCGATGAATTTTTGTATCCGATCAGGAAACATCCAATAAGAAATATCGGTTCATAATTTTTTGATCAGTTTATTTGATAAAATATTATGTTCGGAATCTGATTAAATCGGATCCGATTAAATTTAATCGGATATCCTGATCAGATATAAATATTCATCAGTATTTTGATCGGAAATATCTGTTAATTATTTTTCGGATAATTTCTCCAATTGTGACAATCGCCTCTACGTTAGCAACATTTTCCGAGATCGTCATTCACTTTGACATCTTAGGAACGAAAAAGAGAAACAATAAGATTGTAAATTACAATAAGTGATTTAATAAATTTTAAATCAAGTTTCTGATTATTTGCGTCCAATACATCAAACAAACTTGTTACTGTCTGAGTTAATGTTTGAACCAAAAGGAATCAAAATAGTTCGTTTGTAACTTCTTATAAAAATCATTCAAATTTATATAACCGTGCATTTTATATTTTTAGCTTATATTATTTTTCTTATATTTTATATATTATGATATACATAATTATTACATTTTATATTGTTACACATAATCATCACATTTTATATTGTTACACATAATCATCACATTTTATATTTTTATTTATTATATTTATATAATAAAATCGTAAAGAGTAGATAAACATTTTTTTTCCTTGCATTACGTGTTTTTCTTTCTCAGAAAACTGTTATTTTAACAGCTCTGACAGAAATAAGTTGTTAATTGTGGGTAGTCATAATGTTATATATCACGCGTCTATCCTTGTTAATTCCCAGTGCTGCAGAATATCCATGAATTTTCACCCTCGAAAGCGACACCATCGTCGGTCAATAATTGCGTCTCATAATTAATAAGAACTTTTAATGATACCAAGCCTCTAATTGGGAGGTGGATTTAATTCCAACGATTAATTTCCGGGATAATCGAGTCAATCCGGTTGTAGGAAGAAGAGAAGGGAGAAAGAGGGAAAAGGGAGAAAGAAGAAGAAAGAGATAAAGAGAGAGAGAGAGAGAGAGAGAGAGAGACAGTTTGAGCGAGTTTCTTCGACTGCGAAGAGAAGACGGGAACTTTGGAATTCGCGGATCGTTCGGTGCATATTTAAACTACTCTGCCGTCACTTCGTGGAGGGAGTTACCACGACCATTTTGAGCGATTATTAAGTTCACTGGTCGCGAGCAGAACCTTGCTTCTCTCAGAAGGAACATGTCGACGTGGAAATTGCGAAATTCGCACGATCGCAGATAAATCAAGCCACGAAAAAAGAAGAAGAAGATATTTTCTCTTTTTTCTTATTGGCTAAAGACACTCATCCCAAAAGTCAGTCATTAATTTACTTCTTTTTTACTTATAGAGACAATGTTATAAATAAAATGTAATATCTTCCACAGTGGATTTTCTTGGTTCACATGTTGAGTTAGGGGTGTAGAGAGTACGATATAATTATAGTCTCGGACTCTTCTGGCATAAGTTGCCTTCACATTCGCTAGATACAGAAGTGTTGTTCAACCCGCGCACCACGACAAAACTGAAAAAAAAAGTGGATGAAAAAAATCTTCCTCTTCTTCTTCTTATCCGCTTCTTCTTCAGCGAACATGACGTACTAACGATAGAAACGTCATCGTGCTTGCTGGGCAATGTTGTCTAAGGACTGGGGGAAGGGGGAAACCAAAGGCCATTTGCAAAAGAAGAAGAAGAAACAACGAGATCTCGTTCCAGGACGCCGCGAGTAAGGAAAACGAGATCTCGCGATCGCGAATGCATTGCGGTAATTTTCGAAAGTTCGGCGTTCTCGTTGGCGCGCGACGTAAATCTCTTCCTCGGGCTGCGCGTACGTGCACACACCACCTACCCTCTTCCCCTCCGCGTCTCCTCGCTACCACCGGCGGGTAGGCCGGACAAGGCCGCTAATGAAAGCGAAAAGGAATTTATCGAGGATATAAATTGTCCCCTCCGTCGGGCGCCTCGCAGGAGGCCCGAGGATCGATCGGCGGGACTCGACGGAGGCTCGATATCCTCTCGCCGTCGCCGTCATCCGTCCGTCTGTCCGTTCGTTCGTTGGTTCGTCTGTACCCGGGGAGGAAGGAAAAAAAATGAATCGCGCCCTTTATTGGTTTTCCTCCCTTTCCGGCCCGTGGAACTACCTCCTGCGGTTCTGCGAAAGGGGATCGCGGCAGGCGGAGGAGGTAGCCGATACTCCGCTTTAATTAGGCGCCATGGGCACATCGCGAGAGAACAAGAGAGAGAGAGAGAGAGAGAGAAAGATTGCGGCGACCGACCTCGACAGGTCGTCATAAATGCCGCGACATTTATACGAAGTGTTAAGACGAAAAGGTCACATCAGATCCGTAAGAAATACGTTTCCATGTTGAGAGCCCGTTAAATGCATCGGCTGCGCACCCTTCGAAGTCGAAGTGACATTTCGCGCGACATTTCAGGTAAAAGTACCACAATATCTGGCCACTATTAACACCTAGCTCTGGTCATTCTTGTTGTTTTGGTCTTTAACTACATCGAGAGAATATTACAATTTCTTTTTTATGTAATTTTTTTCAATTTTACTACGTTTTTAATAGTCCAGGCCTATTAAAGGAATGTCAGTAAGGTCTACTTTGCTAAGGAACATAGTAAATTTCACTAGAAACATAGCAAGTAATTCAATAATACATTTCAGTTTCTAAAATATAACTGGCTGAAATGGAAGAATAGTGAATTACTGCAGAATATCGATCAATTCCTCGGGGTTACAAAGTCTCGTGCATGTAATACTTTTTAAAATACTCTCTGTGTACGAATATTCAAACGTTCAATATAGAATATATATATATATATATATATATATATATATATATATATATATATATATATATATATATATATATATATATATATA